GTGTACTCATGAGAGGAAGGAGACTTTGAAGCTGTTCTAAGCATCCATAATGGTAAGTTACCTCCAGCACATGATGAAGGTGGTTTATGCATCATTTACCATGAGAATGGTTTTTAGGTACTATTTGTACAATAAAAATACAACAGTAAAAAAGAAAAAAAATTAACCCAGAGAAATTGTACCCATCCGTAGCCTCTCCTGAGTGGAGGAAACACAGGGAGAACTGTAAGCTAGTAGTATCAGAAGCAGCTACAGTTAGCATCTATGTCTGTCCTTCGGCTCGACGGGGCTTGGGGCGGTGTCGGGCTGGCCTAATGCTGGCCCTGTAAAACTAGCCCAGACAGACCAGATCCCTCTGCCCAGAACTGCGGGTACTCGTTGGGAAGGCAGCAGGGAGAGAAGGCTCCCCGGGCAGACAAAACACCTTTTCCAGGGGTCTGCTGGCTGCCCCCGCTGCTCATCTGGTCCAGCCAGCCTGGCTCAGGGCAAGAAGCACCCTGGCAGGAGACGGGGGCTCTCCTCTCCCAGGGCCTCCTGACATGCCAGGTTAGGGCACCAGAGAAACAAAGCAGGAGGAATACCTCGGCACCAGGACCTATATATATATATACAGCCCTAGGCCAACTGCATGGCAGCCCCTGTGGAAAGAGTCCAAGAACATGGGTCCCACTGATGTTGAAAGGTAGCTTAGGGAATCTATTTCTTTAATAGCTTAGATAAATGCTCTTAAAACTTCAGAGCTTAAAGGCCATGTAGCCTACTTAGGCATTATTTTTTGTTATTTTTTAAGTAGGCTCCATGCTTAGCATGGAGCCCAATGTGAGACTTGAACTCAGGACCCTGAGATCAAGACCTAAGCTTAACTGACTATGCAAGCCACCCACGCACCCCTATTGATGCTTGTATTCTACACAGAGGTGTCACCCACCTATTTCTAAACTCTAAACTCTGGGGATAGGTGTATTAGAACAAGGGTCCTTCTGTGGCAAAGAACTTTGCCTCCCTGCAGCTTCCACACTGGTGACACGTGTGTGTTCTCCGGGCCACAGGAAATGGCATTCATCTGCCTGACCTAGTAGAGTGCTTCAACATTACAAACACAGCTCCCTCTTCATCATGAAATACTGCCAAAGGGAATCCGGGGTACACGGAATATAATCCACACTTATAAGTCAAACAGGGCAACTTGGCTCCCTCCCATGATGACCTGTATCCGTGAATGCTATTATTGGAGACAGACATCAGGATAGAAACCACAACTCAGCATGACTTGTGTTCTCAAATGCCGGGTCGCCCAGCGACTGGGAAGTCTCTCTCTCCATGCCAGGAACCCTTGTCTCTAGCTGGTGAATTCCAGGCACTGGGTGGGACCTGGCAACCGGAATTTTTGACCTAACCTTATCCTTGGAACCTGGCTTCCTTTCTTCCATGCTTTCCCTTCCCCAGAATGCCCCTGCTTCCTCTGAGCCCAGCCACAGTCCAAGGGAGCACCCCAGAAAGTCCTTAATGTGCTCCAGCATTTCCTTCATTGTATTTTTATTGAGCACTCGTGTACAAGACATGAGGCAAGGCAAGGGGAGAGAAAAAGTTAGGGCCCGTAAAACAGAGTGTCAGTTCTCCCTTCTCTGGCTTCCATCCCAGTCTTCCTAGTCCAGGCACGATGACATGGAAACGGTCTTCTGCTGTGTGCCAAGTTAATGTAAAGTTGGGTTGTTGGTTTTTGTGCAAACCCAGCTCACCTTATGGGGAGCTGGGCCTGGAGTGTTTTAGACCAGCAGAGTTAGAAGTATCAGGCCTCACTAGACCAGGTGCGTGTTTTAATTCTTAATTAGTTCAACAGCCAGTAGCTCACTGTCCCAAAGCCTTCCAAAGGCTCCTGGCTACACTTCAGGGGTTAAGGATGTCTCCTAGCAGGGGCGCCCCTGAAAAGGTGATTTTTCACATTTTACATATACACGCCACCACCCGTGGGAAAAGAGTGAGATTTCCTGCTCTTCCCTATCAGCCTGGCTGGACTGACCTGACTCTCGCTGTCCCAATTGAGTACTCAACCAGACAGGTCTTCCCCAGTCCAGCTGGCTTCATCCCACATGCCTGAAGCATCTGAGAAGAATGGGAGTCTGCTCCACAGCTTCCCCCAACCTTCACCTGCTTGGGGCTCAGAGCCTGACACTGTCTTGCCATTGAATTACATGCTGCTGAATGCCACCTGTCAACATGTCTGTCCTAGCACCCAGATAGGAGGTAAACTCTTACAGGGTGGGAGGAAGACCATGCCTCAAACTCCTTTCATGTCCCATTCAACACACAGCAGCGCTCTGCGCATAGCGTAAGGTCAGATTCCTGCTGGGTGAACCCATTCCCTATGCCAGCCAAATGCCTTTCAGCCCATCAACTTAAACTTGTTGAAAAGTGCTTCTGCTTTCTGAATCCCTCTACTATGGGGGCGGGGGGGGGGTAGATGTCAACTTTGATCACCAAGGGTAACCAACTCCCTCCTCCTGGCATCAGGTGCCCAAGAGTGTTACTCCTCCATGACAGGGACTGTGCCTCATTTACTCCTGGGCCCTCAGGGCATAGGACTGGGTCCAACCCATAGCTTGTACCCAAAGAACATCTGCTGAAGGGAGAGATTATCTCTAGGACCCAAGCTGCTTGGTGGTTTTCCTTTCTACTAGAAGTCCCAACTCCTGTCCATCTGGAAGGCGGAAGGAAACCCCAGGACTATGCCTGCCCAAAGACAAAAAAACTGATCACTTATTCTCCACAATGAATTTGGCAACTTCCTGCCACGCTGAACAACTTAGTGCTGTAGATCACAAAATTAAGCTTACCATAACCCTCTTCTAACTAACTCCTCCTGCAACTTCACTATTCTCATCAAGAGTACTGCCATTCTCAGGGTACCTGGGGGGCTCAGGCTTCTGACCATGATTTCGGCTCAGGTCATGATCTCAACATCATGAGATCGAGCCCCCGTATCAGGCTCTGCACCCAGTGGGAAGGCTGCTAGATATTCTCTCCCTCCGCCCCTCTCCACCACCTGCTCTGTGCATGTGCTCTTTCTCTCTTTCTAAATAAATAAATCTTTAAAAAACAAAAATCCCCCCAACCATTCTCCAATCACTCTGGGCTGCAGCCTTTCCATCAACTCTGGTCATATCTGCCCTTCATTGCCTATTAAAAACTAGGTACACAGGTGCCACTTATTGCTCCTTGATCTTAGAATTCACCCCTTCCCATCCTTTCCCTTCAAATCTTGGCCCCCATCCATGCACAAGACCTCAACCAAGGCCCCATCTTCTGGCATCTGGCCTCCCTAGCTCCGATTCTCCTCCTTGATCCCAGACCCTACATGATACCACCAGGCTTATTCAGTACTGTTTTCAACCAGTCCATCCTCTGCTCACACAATAACTTTGCACTTTTAAAACTACCAAGCCTGTACTACTCTGTTCTAACGGACCTGGACCCATATTCATGCTCATAACCCAAAACTGACTAACGCTCCTCCTCAGGGAGTACAGTCATTATCTTTCTCCTTCCAGGAACATATATAACATTCTCTGTGATCTCAGAATCTTTTTTTTTTTTTTTGGTATATTTTTTATTGGAGTTTGATTTGCCAACATACAGTATAACACCCAGTGCTCATCCTGTCCAGTGCCCCCCTCAGTGGCCGTCACCCAGTCACCCCCACCCCCGCCCTCCTCCCTTCCACTACCCCTTGCTCATTTCCCAGAGTTAGGAGTCTCCCATGTTCTGTCACCTTCTCTGATTTTTCCCACTCATTTTCCTTCCTTTCCCCTATAATCCCTTTCACTATTTTTAATATTCCCCCAATGAGTGAAACCATATAGTGTTTGTCCTTCTCCGACTGACTTACTTCAGTCAGCATAATACCCTCCAGTTCCATCCACGTCGAAGCAAATGGTGGGTATTTGTCGTTTCTAATGGCTGAGGAATATTCCATTGTATACGGAGACCACATCTTCTTTATCCATTCATCTGTCAATGGACTCCGAGGCTCTTTCCACAGTTTGGCTATTGTGGACATGCTGCTATGAACACTGGGGTGCAGGAGTCTCGGTTTTTCACTGCATCTGTATTTTTGGGGTAAATCCCGAGTAGTGCAATTGTGATCTCAGAATCTTAACAAAGGTCTCACCTCTGCTTATGCAAATTCCACTGTGCTCCACGGCTGGAGGCAGGCACCATTTCTCACATAGGCTTTTCCCCAGGCCCAGCCCCACCGTCCTCTCTTCTCTCCCACCGCCCATCAAAACTTTCTAGCTGCTTTCCTGTTGCCTCGAAAGTATCCTTTTTCTATGCTTCAGCTCTTGAGGAAGACCAGAGTCTTATTAGGCAACCACAGGATCCTGCCCCAAACACTGGCACCTCAGAAGCGTTATTATGAGTAAACGACAGCCCACGTGAAGGGGGCTTGTTCATCCCCCATTCATAATAAGGCCATTGAGATGGAGGATTCTGGGATCCCGCTAATACCTGCCAAGTGCAGTCATTTCCCATCATTCACAACCAACCCCCCAGAGCTCAAGCCTCGGTATCAGCCAGTAAGATAATGAAGGGAGTGCACAGATTCCGTGGAGTACTCTTCTTCACGCCCTCCGCTCGGCCACTCAGAACTTCTCTGCTCCAAAATTTTGGATAATTACGCAAATGTGGGAGAGAGAGGACGGGATGAGGAGGCCGTGGTGCGAGGGCAGGGCTCGCACTCCAAGGCGCAGTCGGGATCAGCGGGGTGCAGGCAGAACGGGGGGGGGGATGCAAGCGGGATCCGCAGGCCACAGCCTGCACCACGTGCGCAAAGAACACTAGAGGCCATCAGCCTGGGGCTGCCTTTCCACCGCGCGTCCACCGACGGGGCGCGCAGTCAGACCACGTCCCGCAGACCCAGGACCGCGGCCACGCGGCTCCCGCCGCCGGCCCGCCCCCGCCCCCGCGCCCCTGCGCCCCCGCCCCCCTGCGCCCCGCCTTACCCGTCGAGATTTCCTGCGCGAAGGCCAGCGAGATGAGCAGCAGCGGCAGCCCCACGGCGATGTACGTGACCATCTTATCCACGGCCAGCTCCAGCCGCAGCCCCTTGAACTTGGGCTCCGAGGGCTCCTTCAGCAAGAAGTCCGAGAACACGTACTCGGTGGCCAGGTGGGCGATGGCCATGGCCGCGGCGGCGCGCTTCAGTCCCCGGGCCCAGGGGGCGGGGCGGGGCGGGGCAGGCCCGGGCCCCCGCTTCGGGACCGCGGCGCCGCGCCTTCGCCGTCACCTGCCGCCCCCGCGGATTTCGCTTTCCCTTTGCCCGCTCCCGGGCGGCTCACACAGGCGCCAGCCTTTGTGCGCCGCGGCGCGCGGCTGCCTGCGAGGCCCACAGCGCCGCCGCCGCGCCCCCGCCCCGCCCCCCGCCCGCGCTCCGCCCCCCGCCCGCGCTCCGCCCGCCCCGCGCGGGCCCCGGGTGCGCTCCGGCTTGGCCCGCCCGCCCCCGCCCCCCCGCCGGCGCCCCCGCCCGCGCCCCGCTCGCACAGAGCCCGCCGAGCTCTCCCGGAACCCGAGCTCTTCCGAGCTCCTCCGACAGCCGGGGCGCGCGGAGCTCCCGGGGACGGCCGGCCCGGCCCGCCCAGCACGGCGATCCCCGGCGGAGCAGCGGCGCCGCGGAAACGCCCCGCCCCTCGGCCTCAGCGCCCCGCCCCGCCCCGCCCCGCCCCGCCCCCTTCCTGGGCCGCGGTTTCTGAGATCCTTAATGAAAGGAACCTCTCGCCGCGTAGACGGGACGGTCCCCGCGACGCCGCTCTCCCCGCAGTTCTGCACGGTGGACCCGCTGAACAGGAGCCGCAAGCGCTTCCAAGGGCCACGGCTGCCGCCAGAGCCCAGCGGCCGGCGTAGAGGACGGGGCTCTGCACCCTCCGCGCCTCGGTGACCGCGCCGGGGGGCCGAGCCTCCAGCCTCCGCCGTCCGCGCGCGCCGGCTGTGGGCGCTGCCGGCCGCCGCTGCCGACCCACTTCCAGGAGGTGGAGCCTGAGAAGCGCGAGGAGATGCTGTGGCGGGCAGAACCCGCAGGCAGGAGGGCCCCTCGGGCTGCGCTGCCTCCTCGGCTCTTCCCCCCCGGCCCCCCCCCCCCCCCCGCCTGCGCTCAGGTCCGTCGCGCACGTCTCCACCTGTCCTAAGGCTCTTCCAGCAGTTACGCCGCCCTCCGCCCGGGTGGCTCCCGGGACTTCGGACTCCTAGGACCCGGGAACGCAGGCCTTATCTTCCCCTCCGGCTGAACTCCGGTCTTCCCCGGCTGGCGGAAAGCACCGCCATCCACCCAAGCCAGAGCCTCCAGCGTCGTCTTTGACGCTTCCAGTTCTCCCAGCTGCCATAGTTTGGAAAGTGAATTTCCAGATTCACTTGGTCCTCGCCAGGTGAAAAGGTGATGGTGTTTCTCCACATGCCCTTCCAGCACTGGGATTTAGGCCACCGTCCTTCCTCTTTCTCTTTCTCTCTGTATATTCTTTTATCGGAGTTCGATTTGCCAACGTACAGTATAACACCCAGTGCTCATCCTTTCTCTTAACCACATACAGCAGTGGATCCCAAAGGCGGATAAGCCACTTTTCTCCCACAGCGGCCAGAGGGAGCTTTGAAAAGCTCCAATCGGATGGTGTCACTGCCCTACATAAAGTGTGTGTTGCTTTTAGGATAAAATCCAAATTTCTTAGCGTGGCCACTGCCTGCCTCACCAAGCTCCACGATCTCCCCCAGGGTTCCTCAGGTTGGTTAGCCAGGACCCCTGCCTTTTTCGTAAATTGTCCTCGGCCCTGGCAGAGTCTTTAAAATTTAGCAGGGAGGCAATCAATGCACGTTTGTGGAATTCAAAATAGAGGCAAGAAAGAACTTGTTAGGACGTGGGAAGTACAGAAATCTAACACTGGTATAGGGAAGATGAAGGTGAGGGAGTCAAAGATGAAGAGGTTGGGCCAGAGAAGGTAGTCTGAACTTTTTTTCCCCCCTGGGCATTAGGCAGTTTGGGGAGGGCTATACAAATAGCGTTGGGCTTTAAAAGGGTTAATCTTCCAGCCCTGTATAAAATGGATGGGGAACGCTGAGTGGAGGCAGGGAGGCCAGGTGAAAGGCTGTTGAAATTTTGCGCATGAAGTGTAACAGGAGCCCAAACTGGTGCCCTGTCTTTGATAGAGATGAATGACAGAGGAGGGTGACGAAGGGAGCCAAAAAAAAAAAAAAAAATCACATCAGTCTAACATGTGCCAGGTTTTTTCCGGACACAATAAGAAAGCAAGAGCCTGGGTCCAGCTCCAGGATTTGCCACCCAGATTTGCTGTGTGACCAAGGATATATCACTGGAAATCTCTAAGTCTCAATTTCCTTATTTGTTGAATACAGATAATACCACCTACCTCATGGGGCTGTTCTGAGGATTACATGTATGTAATAGTGCATTCCACGTCCTGGGCACTGAACCTTTGGTAGATGTCATTACCAATCTCAGAAGCTTAAGGTGTCACACAAGAGTATATGTAACATTACCTTAAAAAAAAAAAAAGACTTTGGGGCATCTGGGTTCTAGATTTCGGCTCAGGTCATGATCTCAGGGTCGTGAGATAGAGCCAGCCCCAAGTCAGGCTCCGCACTGGACGTGGAGCCCACTTAAGACTCTCTCTCTCCCCCCCCCCCACCATCCGCCCCTCTTAAAAAATAGACTTTAATTTTTAGAATAGTTTTGGATATACAGAAAAATTGAACAGATGATACAGAGAGTTCCCATATACTCCCACTCTTGAGCCTATTTTCCCCTCTTGTTAACATATTGGTATAATACATTTGTTGCAACTAATGAGCCAATGCTGGTACATTAATATTAATGAAAATCTAGTTTATTCATATCTCCTTAATTTTTAGGAGGCCCTCCTAGCTGCAACAGTTTCTTAGACTTTCCTTATTTTTGATGACATTGCTTTTTTTTTCTAATTGTAAGGTGCATTTAGGGGTTGAATAACACATGCTCCTCTCATGTCCCTCCAGCCCTTACCCTAGGTCCAGTGTCATTTATTAGAAGGAAGCCAGAATAGCTGTTCTCACAGCCACTGTCCCAGAATCTGTTTTTTTTTTTTTTGTTTCAGACCCATGACATTTGACATTTGAACATGAGACTTTCTGCAGCCGAAATACTCAAAGTGAGAATAGTCAAGCCTACTACACTGTCTGTTCTGTTTATACATTTATTCAAGTAATATTGCTGAACAATTATTATATATCTGCACTTGGTCTGTGCTGGAGATGCAGCAATGAGCAAAGCAGGTCAGGAGTCTTTGCTTTCATGATGCCTACACTGCAGCCAAAGAGGCAGAAGAAAATCAAACTAACAAAGATAAAATGGTCATGTCCCATGAGAAGTGCTACAAAGGAAAATAGTGGACATAGGGGAGGGATCTGCTTTAGAGAGGGCAGTCTGAGGAGCTCACAGATGAGCTAGGAAAGTTAAGAAGGGGGAGGAGGGTGCTAGAGAGGAACAGTATTCCAGGCTTAAAAAGTAGCACACGCAAAGGTCCTGAGGCAGGAAGGAACTAGCAGGGCACAAGAATTGATCAAAATTAAAGCACGGAAGAGTTGGAGATGAAGTCAGAGACGCGGTCATGGGCCAAATCAGGCTGAGCCTGAGACCAAGGTAAGGAGTTTGGATAGAATCAAAAGTGAAATGGAAAGACATTGAAAGGTATTCACCAGGGAGGTGATGTGATCAGATTTGGAAGAACACTGCTGCAGCTGTGTAGAGTGGTGGGAAGGGACAATAGTGACAGCAGAGAGGATGGTTGGGAGACTGATGCAGTGACCCTGCTTAAGTAGGATTTGTGGCCTGCAGTCTAAACACATTTTTAATGTGTTAGCCTAAAGATGGTTTTTAGATTCACAAATTTGGATAAAATAATGTAGGGAGGAGGCTGTAACAAATGACCACGAACGTGATGACTCCCATTTATTCTCTTAACAGTTCCGGAACTCTTAAATCCAAAATCATGTTTACTGGTATACGAGATGCTGGCAGGGCCAAGCTCTCTCTGGAGGCTCTGGGGCAGAATCTCTTCCCTTGCCTTTCCCAGGTTTTAGGGCAGCATTCCTTGGCTTGTGGCCCCTTCCTTCATCTCCAAAGCCAGCAGCATAGTGTCCTACTTCACTTATCACTTGGCCTTCTTCCATAGTCATATCTCCCTCTGGCTCTCTTTTAGACGGGTGCTGTGACTTTTATTTATGGACAATCTGAGTCATCTATCTCAGGATCCTTTACTTAATCATACCTGCAAAGTCTTTTTTGCCATCTAAAGTGACATGGGTTCAGCAATTAGGACACAAAATCATTGGGGACATTATTCAGCCTACCTCAGAGAGCAAAAAAGAGAAGAGGGCCCAGTGTCAAGCCCTGAGGCATGTCAACACTTCAGTGAGATGGGACACAAAGAGCTAGCAAGAGACTGAAAAGAAAAAGCAACCAAAGAAGGAGGGCTGGCAGGGATCACGTGGAAAAGCCAAGGAACTACAGGGTGTTTCAAAGGAAGAAGCTATCGATTGTTATAAAGAGGTGAAGTGAGATCAAGATGGGAAAGAAACCATTGGAAATGGCATTGTGGTTGATCCCATCCCAGCAGACTGGGAGGTGGGAGTGAGGTACGATGGATTAGAAGTCATTGGAAAAGGTTGAAGCATGCATGATAAAGGCAGAAAATTCTGCAATCAAAGGAACGGAGAAACTAACTAGGTTACAGAGGGTAATGAAGTTAATGACAACAGCCTTCTGTTTGTTGTTTTTTTTAAAAAAATTTTATTTATTTGACAGGGAGAGAGAGAGAGAACACAAACAGGGAGAGCAGCAGGCAGAGGGGGAGGGATCCCAGGGGCTCGAGCCCAGGACCCTAGGATCATGACCTGAGCTGAAGGCAGATGCTCAACCACTGAGCCACCCAGATGTCTCTGTTTGCTAATGGTGGGTACCACTGATATCCTTGAGAAAGCAAGAAGAGATAAAGTCCAGAGCCAAGTAAGAGACCCACCTACTAGGAATAGGGATACCTCTTCCATTGTAACAGGAGATGTATCTAAATGTAATTGATTTTCTTAAAGGACTGAAGCAAGGAAAGGAGTATGGTACATTTGAGGAAACAATATTCAAGGAGAGTCCATCATTTGCAGAGATGTAGTTAGTTTCATTTCCTTTAGCAGGTATAGCTAGGATAGTTGCTAAATATCTAAAAGACAAGTCTCCTTTAAGGAACCCCTTGCCCTATGTCTAGTGATCCATAATATTTAGTGGAAAAAAAATGCAAACTGCCATCTTATGATCTTTGAAACTTTATTAAAAAGAGAAATGGTGTAATCAAACTACTTTATGGTTTCATTA